GAAGTCTTCGACGACGACGCCCAGCCGTGGCGTCCAATCCCGCAAGGGCATAGACTCCAAGTCCTGTGAGAACAAAAGTTGGACGGTAATTTTGTTTACTGCTTCACCATCAACGGCGAGCTGCAAGGTTCTAGATCTCCTGATCCGGAACAACTGTTATCACGGCAAAATACACAGAGGTCACATTCTTCTCTCTGCTAGGCATATTAAGCTACCACACTTTAAATATGCAAATGAGAGGTTGCTGAAAATTCAGTTATGTTGCCATTGATCATCAAAACCCCAAAAACTTGGTGACACTTTGCTGATCGTCTTAAGCTCATTTGCCCCGTTGCTAATTTTTCCAAGTAATATAACTGCGCTACGTATGACTTGTCTGGGAGAGTTGCAAATGCGAGCTTTGCAATATTTGTGGAAATCAACGAGTTTGTATACAGGAACACTATACAATACAGTCAGATGCAAGACGTGGCGCTAGTATTCAAATCATGGTTTATCTTCTCTGTGAGAAAGATCCAACGTTCTTACTATTTACGTTTATCATTCGTTTACCAAAAGAGTCGAAGTCGCAATAGGCACGAAAGTGCCAAAAGCTATAATCGTTAAACCCTGTGATAGAATGAGTTTCAAAAGACTGTAAGCGGTCCCCCGTCCCTTCGAAGACACCTTTAGATCGATGACAAGATTGGTTTAAAGAATGTTTTGGAGCAACATGGATAAGAATATATAAAGACTCTCTTCATCTTACCATGTAGCACGTGCCGAAGAGCACACGAAGGGATAACAGATCGTATAATATTGAACCCTCGACATTTTCGAGCTGCGTCCATCGAGTTATGGAATTTGAGCTGCTTCGAGAATCCATCCGATTGTGTTTGTTGAAGTGATAAGAGAAGAAAACGTTGAGCAAAAGCTCACCTGCAGTAGCAATTAAAGACGAAAATGGCTGATGTGACATTTCAAAATGAATAATCACGTGGTCGTCGTCGAAATCTATAAGAAAACGAAAAAATGGATTAATGACTGCATGAAGAAGCGAATGAATGAATTGCATTAACGAGGCGTATTGGATACCATGTCATTTTAAGAAAGATTTTTAATTTCCTGGTCCTTGCAAGCGATATATGAACGCTATTTCTAATACCACATTTCATCCCACTGCACAGACTACTGTTCTCCCTTGATCAGTCTTCAAGTTTTACACTCAAACAAATAGAAAGTTTTGTTAAGCAATCCTTAGTTGATGCTGTTCTGTCATGCAAAGTATTATATGCACGCGAATACTGTTCACAAACGGATATTGCGTAGATTAGTAGTCATTGTTTTTATTTCAAATGTGTCCAAACGGTGTCAATGACTTAACTTGCTGCGATTGCGCAGTATACACGATAACTGACAATGCGATACAGTAACAAGATATGTTTAGTGTTTTAATTTTCATCGACAAAAGGCAAATGTCGTAATTTATTTAGAGAATTCGTAATATAAATCTATGGGTTATTAAAATCTTACACCAGAATTTCGAGATCATGACTGTCCAAGTAGTAGGGGCGGATATTATTTTCTCACTTTTCTCATATAATCCATTAAGAATTATTCGACACGTTCTTCAGCGTTCCCAGACGTGAGTTGCTACTCTCTGTTCAGCAGCTTGACAACATTTTATTGAAAGTTTTGTTTCTTTCTTACAATTAATACGCATTTTCTCCCTCATCTTTCTCTGGTGATTCATAATCAGAATGTTTTTTTTTCAGTGATATTAATATTGTTAGTCAAGCGTTTCCAAGCTCATGAACATCCTCATAGTTACCTAGGTCTTTAGGGGTGTACTCTCTGTTTTACTTATAACATATTACTCACTAATTTTATTGCGCATCAGTCTCCTAAGCAGGCTGTGGCTGGATTCCGGGGTGCAATCTTTATAAGCTTTACCTTCAAGGCATGTTAAGCTAGGAGTCGTGTCTTCTTGACCTGCTCCATTTGTTCTGACGTTTAAACTGTGAGCATATCATTGAATGTTGTTTTTTAGACGTTCGCTCATTTTATGCAACAGCAAAATTTGCGCCTCTAAATCGTTTGAGTACGATTTTGGTTTTGGTTTGCGTCAAATCTTTGCCCTCGAAGCTTTCGTTCAGTGGCGAAGTGATTTCATTTGAAGCAGCCAAATTTTTGGGAATAAGAAAGTCGTGACTACGCTTCAGAACGGTCCAAAACATCTGGAAAGCGACGAAACTTTGCAGTAATTTTTACATTTCTTTACATTCCTTTGATTTTTCTGTTGACGTATGTGCAAAATAAAGTTTTTGGCTCCATTCTCGATTATCCAGTTGCATACCAGATATTTTTGTCAGATGTTCAGAACAGCAAAGGCAAATTTTTATCATTAAAGTCACCACTGCGATAGGTGGCAAATACGCAAATGCGGGACTATGTTCGAATGCTAAAATATATACTTGGAGTATGCTGCAGCTAATCAGGCGTTGCCTGAGATTCCATGGCTGAAAGAGTAATTCAGAAGGAATTATCTGTAATTTCCACGCGGCTTGTAGTGGTTCTTCCGATTGTCACCCACCCTGACTTAGCCGGAACCAGTGACTTCCAGGATTGATGTTTTCTATATCTGTCGATCAGTCGTCCATTAAGTTTGGCCAATGTTTCTTCCACCGTTTGTTCCACTGCACTTCAGGCTTGAGGAGGATTTCGCTGGCAGTTCTGACAATGTTCCACAGGTCTCAACATGTCTCACCCCTTTCATATTGATCTACGGATCTGGTAGAGATCGGTGCAATGAACGTGCATGCCTGCGAACATGTGGGACAGATGGACAGCTGCTAAGAGCCATCCAATCGCTGTAATCTGATGGCAGGTGCTGCGTCAGAATTAATGGCGTTAAGTCGAAACCATTCAGCGTTCGCACTGGTCTCCGCCAAGGCTGCGTCCTGT